GTGTGTGTGTGTGTGTGTGTGTGTGTGTGTGTGTGGTTGCCAAGAGAGGGGGAAGTGCCATGCAGCCACAAGGACAGCCACAAGCACTGTCCCTCTCCCCCCCTCTATCTATGGTGGTGGCTGTGATTGCAGCAAATGGGCTGGCGCGAAATAATTTCACACCATTTGATCCAGTCCAAACGGTTGGGATGCGAATGGCGACAGGAATGAGGGCAAATTACCAAGTGAAGGGACATTAATAAGCAAGTGAGCAATCGTTGCGCAGGAGGAAATGTACACAAGTTTTCAAGATACTGCCAAATCCACTTTGGTTCTTTCTCGCACCTGAATTCAGTGTCATGGATCTTATAAATCTTCTGTCAGTTTGCAGTTCCTGTCTATTGCGACTACCTGATCATTTCAACGTTCAAACTGTCATGGATCTTATAAATCTCCGGTCAATTGTAAATCGATGTAACGAGTTATAAACCTTCTAGTGTGCGCCATGATAATTGCAAAGCGAGAAAAGTTATGGGACTGCGTTTTGCATTGCCATGGAATTTATGCGCCGTCCCATAACTTCTAAGTTCTAACATTTGTGGGGGCTATGGTTAGTGATGGTTGTAACTTGGATCTTGGCTGGATCTTGGCTGCTGATTGTGGCATATGACATTTTCAACAACAGGCGTCAGAGTGGTGGATGGTTTTCACAAATGACCTCGCCCAGTGGAGTTTTTGAGGCTCGGAATTGGTGGCCACTTGGCAGAGGTTCTCTGGGTGCTGCAGGCAGTGATGGACACTTGGAGGTGGGCACACCGCGGAGGCATACGGACGGATCGGTGGCTGTCGAGTCGGGGAGCAGCATGTTGCCACTTTTTGGAGAGAGTAATAATGAGCTCCTGCGCATGGCAGAGACGGTCCAAGAAGTGCTTCCCCATTTGCCTCCTGCAGTTATTATGCAGGTGGGTGACTTGCACTCTGAATTGATGCGAACTTTTTCGCTTCGAATTTCAAATCAACTATCTTGTCGTGTCCTGTGCATGCGGAGTGAGCAATGCCCGCACAAGAATCAATTTGAGCACAATAGAAATCTCTCTCTCTCTCTCTCTCTCTCTCTCTCTCTCTCTCTCTCTCTCTCTCTCTCTCTCTCTCTCTC